AAAGGAACACTATCATACTATTTTTAGTGAAGGATATATTGTGACGTCAATATAACTGGATTATAAATTATACGCTGAACCCCGAAGAGCACAGAATAAAATAAAAATTTATTTTATAGCCTGTCACCTACAGTCTGTCACTCACAGAAAGTCTGTCACTTACACAAAGTCTGTCACTTACACAAAGTTTGTTCTACTCAAGAACGTGCAACCCCCAATTATCAATCGATTGAAACTTGAATTCTTCGTATGAGTGGTCATCGGCTAAGAAGCCAAGGTCCTGTTTCTGATGAAGAAACTACCCCTGAAGAAGGACAAACCTCCCTTGAGTCTATCGCTGATGATAACTCTCAGTTCAGCTCAGCCAGTGCATCCTCCAGAATGGAAGAAAATCGAATTACTGCACTAGAAGTCGAATTGAACACTGTTAAACAAGGACTTCATAGTCTTGAAACAAAGTTCGATGATATAACCAGAATGTTAAACATTATCATGAACAAAATGGGTGATTCTGAACAAAAATTCAACACCATTCATGAGACCTCTTCTCCTGTGAAGAAAACTGATGATTCAAAGGTTTCATTTGACGAGCCTGTCGTCACTACATCTCACATGATGAATGATGAATTTAAAGTTAACCCAGCTGACGTTAAGTCTTTAAGATTGTTGAGAAACATTGACTCTGAGATCTTCTTGCAAGATCAACTGAATGCCAAATGTACTCTGGACATCTATGACATGAAGAACACCTCTCATTTATCTCGTCCTGACTCTATCACTTCTGATCCTGCCGAAATGACGTTTGATGAGAGACTTGCTTGGTTATCCGCTGCTAAGAAGTTTTGTACAAAAACCTCCCTGAGGACCGATCAATGGGTGAGTTTTCTTCTTGATGAATTTTTCACTGACATCGTCACTATTGATGGTATCAAAACGCTTATCGCTAGTCGTGTTCCCACTAAGGAATACTCCTACATTCGCAACTCCTGGATTGCCCTTATCCTATACTTCTTTCCCTCCGAAATTGAAATTCTGCAACAGCAAGTTATCAAGGATTCTGCTCTACGTATGAAGTGGATCAAGAAAGGTGAGAATATTGGTAAATCATTGCGCTCTTGGATTATTGCCTGCAAAGGTGCTAATGGTTATGGACCCTCGTTCGGTGAGGTCAAGGTCTACCTTACAGTCCTACTGTTTAAGGTTGCTCCAGACTATATCGTGGATTTCTCAAAGATCACCAATTGGACTGAATTGCTCACTGTTGTCGATGAAAACCATTTTGCTCGAGTCAAGTCTGCCGAAGAAGACATCATCTTCTTCAAAGAGAACTTGAAAGGTGCGACTCTAATGTCCACCACAACTCCGTCATGGTGAAGCATCTTATCAATATATTTTACAAATTGATGAGTACACAACTGCAATGTTATTCTCTTTCCCCACTGCTCGTTGCACTGCCCAGCACACTGCTGATTGCATCAAAATAGTGCTACAAACATTCCCTGGGTTACAACGTGTTGTTACTGATTCTGCTCAGTACTTTATCACCGATCGCTTATGGGATGAACTCGCTCAATTTCATCTCCAGAAATCTGCCTCTTCTAGCTATCATCCCAAAGGTAACTCGATTGTTGAACGTCGTAACAAATCTTTGAAGGACATTCTGAAAATGCTTACGCCAAATCATGACTATGCCCATTGGGCTACACATCTGTCCAAGGCTGTCATGCTAGTCAATGCTCTACCAAGTATTTATGGCTATAGTTCGTTTGAACTCCTCTCTGGTATTAAGGTTTCTCCCACTAAGTTATTAGAAGGTTCCTCTCTGACTCCACATGACTTCACACTTCTAAGTCAACAAGTTGCGGGACCACTTGAAGGTAACTTTCTACGTCGTGACCTCACTGGTCTTCGTCTTCTCCAGCTGACTGATATTTCCAAGAAGCGGGAGAACCAACGTGCCAAACAGGTACATAAACGAGAGTTGAAACAAACCATTATGAATCGTTTATCAAACAAAGCCAAATTCACTGTTGGTGAATATGTTATGAGAAGAAACAACGCCCACAAGAAAGGTGCTCCTCATTCCTATGGTCCCTTTAGAATCCACAAGGCTCTAGACATGGACACATACAAACTGGCACAATTAAACGGTAAACCTATTAGTGGTACTGTCAATGGAAAAGATCTCTCTCGTGCTTACCAATACTATGGAAGCCCCATGGTCGCTATCTCTGATGCTTTGCGCTCCTTTGGCTACAATGAAGCAAAATTCTTAAGAGATGCTTTAAACAAGTTGGAATACTTGGACACACTACGAAACAATGCCGAAATCACAAATTAACCTTATTGGCATTATGGTTGATAATCTCCACTGATTCCAATACAATTGCTGCCATTATAGGTCTATGAACTCAATGAAGCTCATCTCTCATAAAGTGAGGAGTGCTGTGATATTCGACCTTCGGATTAGATTCCTTCGGAAATAGCGCTTGTTACATATTTGAATGTAATGAGAACATGTCACACGAATTCCCCCGAGATTCGTGTCTGCCTTTCTACAATGGTTTAAAAGGAATTCCTTGAACCATTGTATTTCCTCCTT